AACTTCATAAATACTTCTATTAGGGCTGTTTTTTTTTTCCATAATGGAATGGAATATAAGAGTACATACACTACCTGAGCTCCTAAATCTGTGTTTTTTCAAACAAGATTCAGCATATAAATTTCATTAAAAAATAATTTAAATCTATTTTTAACCTTATACTCCCTCTGTTTCAGGTTATAAGTCATTTTGACTTTGGTCAAAGTCAAACCGCTTCAAGTTTGACCAAACTTGTAGAAAAAAGTAGTAACATTTTTGAACCAAAGACAAATTTATTATGAAAATATATTCAATTATTGATTTAATGAAACTAATTTGGTATTTTAAATATTACTATATTTATCTATAAACTTTGTTAAACTTAAAGTAATTTGACTTTGTTAAAAGTCAAAACGAGTTATAATATGAAAGGAATGGAGTAATAGTTAATCCAGTTTTGTGTACCACTGAATAGTTTGATCTATTCAGCTATTTAGCATTTCATTTTTTTCCCATTTAGCCCAAAAGAACGCATTGCTTTCTGAAAGAAAAAAAAAGATAAATAATTGAACGAGATGAAAAAAAAAAGAGGACAAAAGTTCCATGTCTGGTCCTGAACATTTTTTCTGCAGAAAGTCCGTAGGGACGTCAAGAACGCAACTATATAGCGACAAGATCGATTCTTGCGGTTGGTGTTTGTGTTTGCCGCCAGCCGTCGAAGCCTCCCTTTGATTCTTCTCCTGACAGCGACAGAGGAAGCACATCGATCGCGGCAACAATTAACTACAGTTCCTTCAATTGGCGTGGTCCAATGATCAGGCCATTGGATCGAATAGCAGCAGTTTCTGCAGAAATTTGCTTCTTTGTTCTCTTGTGCTGTTACTGTCTGGTTCAGTGGCCACTGATGCTGAAGCTTCACCGCGCCAGTGTTATCAACTTATGATTCAGATGTCAGAACCAAACAGATTACCGCCGCATCAGTTGTTGTCAGTGATTAGAAAAACGGTTTTAGACCTTTTGCTTACAGGTAACTAAGCTAGGTGTTAACACAGACATACACATACTCTCTCTCTCTCTCTCTCTCTCTCTCTCTCTCTCTCTCTCTCTCTCTCTCTCTCTCTCTGAGAAATGCTTTATAGTTTGCAGGTAATTAAGCTTGGTATTACTGTACCTATCTATCTTTCTGTGTCAGCTTTCAGTTTACAAATTTCGTAAATTAATCAACAACTTGACGTATCCAACTTAGCTTGCACCATCTGCTACTTTGTAGTCTGCACAAGTAATGTCACACACTCACACGCAACTTTGAACAGTTCGTGAGGTTGATTCCCCAACTACTCTCAGACTAATTCTGCAGCCAAGTCGATCATGTGTGGATCAATCATGCAAATAAACTGTACTTAAGACAGCCAAATTAAAGCAAGACGAGGTCATCACTTGACCTGTACACACTCGCTACGTATTCATCGATCAATCGATATACACATGCAGCTTGACTAATTGTTATATGATTATAATTCGATATGTTAAACTCCTACTTCGTACCTACCACTAACCGATCGCTGGCAACTACCCCCACTAATTGAACTAGTTAATTTATAATCCATCGTTAAAAAATAAGCTAATAGTAGACTTGTAGTTATACACATCGAATGAGCGAGTATAGCGAAGCTCTAGGATCCTGCAGGAATCTTCCCGCTTAATTAGCTGGAGTAGCCTTCGCTGCATCGATCTTTCCAAGTACGTTTCACTATATATTCCATCCTGTACTGTGTACTGGACTAGCAAGTGACGAGTGCATTAATCATGAACGGATCATCTAGCTAAGCTACACTCCGAGATACTCGTGAGGTAGTAGACATAGCCACGGGAACACGTATCGCTATTTGTTGATGTTGGCAGCTGGTGTATGAAAGTGACTAATTATTGAGAGAATGCAGGCCTGTTCATGTAGCTCCAGCTCCAGTTTTGCTTCATCTGTATATACTGTAGTAGTACAGAAATATGATATGATAGTTACACTAGTTTCCATCCATCATGAATGATGCATCATTTGGCTCATAGCACGTTCTGAATCATATGTATTTTGGTCTTTCCAAAGTGGCTCTCTTCAGACAAACGCATGCAGAAGTGAAGAATGTTAATTCAGAGCTACTAGCTCCGGCCTGCACGTGCAGCAATGCGGAGGAAGCTAAGAACAGAAGGCCAGAAGCCAGAAGGTACACACATATACAAGTCAAACAAGTGAAGGAATAATCGAATTGAACTCAGGGTCAGAACAACTTAGCATGCACGCACACTACTTGGGTTTCAGTTACAGAGTTTCAGAGATTTTTAACCCCCCCTTGTTGCTGGCTTGCTGCAGCTAGTAGCTTGCATCATATGGCCAGCTCGATCGAACGGGACGTCATTGCCCGTGTGACAGGAACGGCTCAACCACCGGTGGAAAATATACCGACGCACTGATGCATCCTCTCCTTCCATTGGCTTCCACGCATGTGACGCAGAATTTCTGAATCTGAATTTCTGAACATGTTCTTCGCGAACCATACGTTAGCCGGGCCATTCAACTTGCATATTTGCAGAGATGAGAAATGCCACTTGGCGATGTGTACTGGTGGTAGACACTAGACATCGAGAGGGAGATGCGAGTATCCACCAGTGAAAAAGGGAAGAATCTTTCGATGCAACATGTTTTGTTACTTTGTTTCGAGTGAGATATCTTATGGATGAGCAGCTAGCTAGCAGACAGATTATTATTATTCAGAGATATATATGGTAAAGCCAGCAAACCCCCATGCCGGGTTCCATGATTTGATATCTTGATTGATTTAATTAGCCAGCATCGATCGATCGATAGAAAAGAAGAAGAAGGAGAAGAAAAAACTAGATCCCAGCAACTCCCCAGGGTCAACTCTTCGTGACAATAATTCTCTGCATGTTCTTCTAGCAACGCCTGGAACAAGTACAGTAGATTCTTATACATGTTCTTGTAGTAGATTCCTACATGTGTGTTCATCGGCTTATGTATGCACGTACACCGTATATAACTAGTATTCCACTACTCTGTATTCGGGTTTGGTTAATTTTTCGCGAACGCGCAAAATTATTGTACATTAATATATTAAGAAGAAAGTGGAGTTTTAGTTACTCAACGCAACAGACCAAACCGGCCATTACCGGGTTACAAGGAAAAGGACTGTGAGGGGGCAAAAAAGGAAAAATAAAAAACTAAAGCTGCTGGTCCTATATAGAGGGAGAGAGGTGGTGGAGGAACCTCCTATCCTCCCAACAGGTCCCCAAACGAAGCGGCACTAACTAGAGACCAGAGACGGTCCTCCTAAAGGACGGACCCTAGAACCACCGAGACAGATGAAAGGGATGAATCGAAAACCCTAGCGTCCACTCCTTCCACAGCTACCAGGATACCAGGAGGACCAAAGTCAAAGCCCTTACAAAGATGCTCTGGCGGGCAGGCCCTAGCAGACGACCACCAAACCTAAAGAGAGCAGCCACGGGAAGGAATGAGCCCAGACCAGCCAGAGGGAGACAGGACGTGGTGCCAGACTTGGCCAGCGAACACATCGTCGAGAAGGATGTGGTTCGCCGTTTCAAGCTCCTGAGCGCAAAAGGGACATGCCGAGTGGTTGTCGATGCCGCACTTTTGTGGAAGATCTGCCATTCAGCAACGCTGCTGGAACACAAACCAAAGGAAACGCTTACACTTGGCAGGGCTCTTAGCCTGCCAAATCAGGTCGGCGCAAGGAAAGGAGTGCTACTCCAGGAAGAAAGCATGGTAAGCTGAGCGGTTGAGTAGCACTGATCGCCTATCCAACGCCAAACAAGACTGTCCTCAGTGCCCGGAGAGAGCTGGATAGGAAGCACTGCATCCCAGACCAACAAGAATTGAGAGATGACAGGGACCGTGAGGGCACCACGGATGTCCCTCACCAAGGAGTTGTCAGCAAGGGCGGAGGCTACTGTGCGTGTTGCTCGGAGATGCGGGGGCACTGCAAGGAAGAGGTCCGAAACTAGGAAGGCCACCGAAAATGACCCTGAATCCACTGGTGCGACCAGAAGAGGGTCGAAGTACCGTCCCATGGCACAAGGAAGGTGGAAGCCACGAACATGCCGGAGACGCTCCTCTCCAGGGGGGCCTTGAGGTCGGGCCCGATAAGGATGGCGGGAGCGCTGAAGCCAGAGCCAACGTAGGCGAAGGGCGAAGCTTGCCATCCCCAGGACACAAGGCATCGTCCACCATGAACCGAGTCCATATCCGTCCATAGGAAGGCACGACGTTTCTTATCAATGGTCTTGATGACCTAGCTCGGCAGCCTGATCTCCATCGACACATGGATCGGAATAAATGAGAGTACGAACTAGATAAGCATAGAGCGACCGATTAATTAAGGTGGTGTGCCGACCCTTCCAGGGAGGGAGACGATGGGAGACCTTATCCACCAAATGTAGCTTGGCTGCTTTCAGAAGCTTGCGGACCGACAGCGGGATGCCAAGATAGGTGCAAGGGGACTTAGAGATAGAGCATGGGAAGGTGCTCTGAACCAGCTCCAAGTCCTCGGTCGAGCAGCGGATCGGAGTAATCGAGCATTTGGCAAAGTGTGTGTAGCCTGGAGGCTGAACTAAAGACGGAGAGGATGTCCTGGATGAACTCCAGATCCTGTATCTTACGGGTGAGAAAAAGAGGACTAAATCATCGGTGTAGAAGGAAGCACGATGCTGCAAAAAGCTGCCGGGTTTGGTTATTAATCCGAGCCCGTTAAGAATTGCTGTGATGAGATGAGAGAGACTGATCCGGAGTATTGACCTGGTTTGATGGACTCTTATTATTTTATCTCGTGCTCATGACTGAATCATTTAGCTACCACTTCCTCCTCTCCAGAAACCAAGACCTGATCAAAGTCACCAAAACGAAGCAAATCAAGCCAATACTCTCGCACTCCTATCAAGACAAGGAACCATTAATTAATTATTACTAGTTATATTACTTAGTTAATTAGTTTAACCGCACCGTACACCCGACGACCAACTCCAAGTGAGAAATTTAAACAAGCGAGAGAGAGAGAGAGAGAGAGCTTTTCCCGGACAGGTCTCCCGGCGCCACGGCATCCAAGCTGCTCGTCGCGCTATCTATACATGACACGCCCCGTCTCCCTCCTTGCTTGACACCAATTCAACGACCTCTCGCGACTGATCGATCGATCGATCGATCATTCGATCGCCATGAGGCTCTCGGTCTCCGTCGCCGCGGTGCTCGTCGTTCTTGCGGCGCTCCGGCCGCCGCGGGTGGCGGTGGCGCAGAAGTACGCGGCCATCTTCAACTTCGGGGACTCGCTGGTGGACGCCGGCAACCTCGTCGTGGATGGCATCCCGGACTACCTCGCCACGGCGCGGCTGCCGTACGGGATGACGTACTTCGGGTACCCCACCGGGCGTTGCTCCGACGGCCGCCTCGTCGTCGACTTCATCGGTACGAACGGGCACACAACCCATTTCTCCTCTCCGAGGTGATCGATCGATCGATATGCCGGGTTGACCTGACATTTTTCTGCGTGTTTTGTGATGATGAGCAGCGCAGGAGGTGGGGTTGCCGCTGCTGCCGCCGTCGAAGGCGAAGAACGCGACGTTCCACCGCGGCGCCAACTTCGCCATCACCGGCGCGACGTCGCTGGACACGCCGTACTTCCAGGGGCGCGGGCTGGGGCACACGGTGTGGAACTCCGGCTCTCTGCACACCCAGATCAAGTGGTTCCAGGACATGAAGGCCTCCATCTGCAAGTCCCCTCAAGGTTAGTCGTTGCCGCCGCCCTCGCCGCCGCCGACGACGACGAATCAATGCACCGTCCTAACTAATTCCGGTGGTGGTTTTGGGTGACGATCAGAGTGCAGGGACCTGTTCCGGCGATCTCTGTTCATCGTGGGGGAGTTCGGCGGCAACGACTACAACTCGCCGCTGTTCGCGTTCCGGCCACTGGAGGAGGTGCACACCTTCGTCCCCGACGTCGTTGACTCCATCGGCAAGGGCATCGAGGCAAGCTAGCCCGTCTTCTCCGACTCCGGCGACTCCAATTCTTGATTTCTTTCCACCACGATTTCTCATTGCATCATGGATTGGTGGTGCAGAAGCTGATCGAGGAAGGGGCGGTGGAGCTGGTGGTGCCCGGGGTGCTGCCGATCGGGTGCTTCCCGGTGTACCTCTCCATCTTCCGGAAGCAGCCGGAGATGTACGGTCGCCGGAGCGGCTGCATCAGGGACCTCAACACGCTGTCCTGGGTGCACAACGCTGCGCTGCAGCGGAAGATCGCCGAGCTCCGGCTCAAGCACCCCGGCGTCCGCATCATGTACGCCGACTACTACACCCCGGCGATCCAGTTCGTCCTCCACGCCGAGAAATACGGTCAGTGCTATGCTCACTTCGGCTTCGTCTTCTTCCTCTCGCTGTTTTTTTTTTCTTTTTTCGCGCGGTTTTTTTTCCTTTTTTTTGTTTTGGGTTCTCGTGTCGCAGTTCCCGCGGCCCGTGGTCTCACGGCGGCTTGCGTCTAAGGTTGTTAGTTGGGTTCGTTACGGCAACGTGACAGACGCTGACAGGTGGGACCCACAGCCTGTCACGGTCGTCCTATTTTTTGAAAACTAAAAAGAGAGAAGAACCATCCTTCTATGGTTTTATCTTTTAAAAAAGAGCCTTTTTTTTGTTCTGTTCAAGCTAAACTATTCGAGATTTTTTTTAAAAAAAAACTCAGAAATCAAGCCAGCAAGGTTCGATTTTTCTATACGGAGAAGTTGGAAACGACCACTATAAGTATTTGCGAATAATTTAATTAAGCGGATGGATGAATGAATATATAATACGAAGAACAGCTGTGCTAGCTAGCAGCCTAGCAGCATATCAGGCCAAAATCAAAGGCTGCTTAGCTACATTTCTTCTCCAAAATATTTTAAATTCTATATATGAGATATCGTCATCATCATTTTGAAAGCAAGCATGGGGAGAGAACGAGATGTGGGGCAAACACAAGAACCAATCAGTCGAGTGACGGGAGCAAAAAGCATGCGTTTCTGGGCGAACATTCAGAAGGGGTAGTTGGGGGCCAATTTCCCCCAAATATATTTATGAAGGTTTCGTGATCAATCGACGCACCATGACCCTTGAACTCTTCAATAGGGAAATGTGATTGATTTTAATTTCTAGTAAAGCTTCGCTGGCTAGCTAACGTACATCCGTCCAAGCTAATTAAGCTGGGCTCCGGCTCCTCCCCGGCGTCAACACTGCAGCTGATTAATTATGAAATGTGTAAGCATCAGTGCAATTGCTATTTTGCGTAGGTGACATGACATGGCAAAAGCATTTTTGAAGTGACACCTAACTAAACGATGACATAACTAGCTAATCAATCAAGCAGAACACCCTCCAAATTAAACCTCTCTCTTCGGTAGATCGTTTGTAGGGAAAATTAATTTAATAAATCCCTGTTTGGTTGTCAGTGATGACACCACATGTGACCATATCAATTGGTACGTGAGAGAAGACTTGGAATTGTTAGCGTGATGCCGGCCATGAATTAGTAGTAGCCTTCTCCAGGTTTTTAAATTGCAACTAAATTAAAGCCTTAATGACAATCTTACTTCGTGTTGATTCCATGTGGTCCATATAGGGCATTGACCTGTTCAGGGAGGTGTCCACTGTCCAATAGCCGTACAGGATGAGCAGGGCTTTGGGGATTTTATACAGGCAACTGGAATGTTAGCTAGATAGGCTTAGCAGCTTAATTTTGGAGTCAATAGTCCATGATAAAACAATTAGGATAAGCAGGATCAACTTAATAATAACAATCAGCAAGTAGTACTAGTGTAAGTACACTGAACAATCTTGTCAGAAAAATATAAGAACCACTAGAAGTACCAGCACGAAGTAAGATAAAAGGTACGAGATGTACTAAACAACACACATATGGCGCTGTGCTTACACCATACTACTTGGGATTAGCAAATTAACACATCCAACGAGCTTGTTGGCTAGGCCTTTTCTTTTGGGGGCCATTCTCTCAGAACATTGCACGCATACGACAGTTTCTAATCATTCAGCAATTAGTAAGGTATCATCATGCATGATTCGGGCGACGTGCATCTGATTCTACCACTGATTTTGTGTAGAAAACAATTCAATTTCCTTCCCTCTCTTTTTTTCTGCATAATTAAATTTCTAATATATACTAGAAGAAAACGACCTGCCCAAACAATAATTGAGCTACTTTTTCCTTGAGAAAATGATTGAACAGGATAAACATAGCGGATCAGCAAAAAAAAAATTGTGCATTGATTTGTGACATTTCGATTCGAATTGAATAGAGAACACATTTTATGATCATTATCCTAACCCATTCTCCCCACGAAATCAAATAAAAAAACTCAAGCCTGATATGGCACTGAAAACCATGCTAATTAGAATCCACACATTGTCACCAATTTCGCCTACCCTGTTTAAGAGCAGGTACAATAGCAGGCTATAAACCAGCTACAAACATATTTTAAAAAGATAAATAAGGACAGAGAAGAGTAGCGGGCTACAGATTTGTAACTAGCTGTAGCACGGACTCCAAGACGCAGTGTGTATGATAGGTGGGACCGGATATTAATAATGTGGTATGTAACTATTGTATGAGTGAGCTATTAAATTAGCTATAGATAAATTAGAGCTAGCAGTTGACTATACTATTAAACTTGCTCTAATTAGTCAAGCTAGTAGTAACAGACATGCATACCACAACCACAATGCCCCTTAGTCCAGTCCAGGCATCAACCCCGGCCCTCGTGCATGGAAGAATCGACAAGCAAAGTCTAGAAAGCGTGATCCGGGCGGGCAATCCGGTTTAGAGAAGCGAATAATAAGTTCACCAACCCATATAATATTCCCTCCATCTATTTTTGATAGTAATATTTCTAAATCTGAAAATTTTATTTTTGATAGATATATTTCAATCCAACAAACTATCATCTTAATGATTTTCTCGAATTTAATACGTGACTCTCCATTCTTCTACACATGATTGGCTACATGAGCTTTGAGAAATGTAAATATTAATGAATCGCTTGTTTACGAGGAATGACTAGTAGCATGCTTAAATAAATGATAAATAGAATTACTTATCCTTAATCTGTGTGTCAAGATGAAATATGACTATCAAAAGTAGATGGAGGGAGTAATATACTAGTACCACACATTTTTTAAAAAAAATCCTATCTACACCATTTACACGATGCGACGACGATACGAGACATCAGCTGATGACCGCGTCGTACATGCACGGCAGCATCTCGTGCGCGCACGCACGGAGATAGCCAGTGCCGGTTAATTTTATCATTGAGAAACGTTTAGAGATCTTCGGGCTAGCTTCACATGGTAATGGATTGGCCGGTCTAGGTTTTGAAGTGTCGCATCTTCTATTTATTTAATATTAGATACTTTTCTAATATTCGTGTATTTTTCTAGGGAAAATTGGAACCATGTCATTATAATTTTTTTTTATGGCACGCACGATCGATGGGTCTAAATTTTGCGGTGTTTTTGCAGGGTTTTTGAGGCAGACGCCGCGGGCGTGCTGCGGGGCTCCGGGGGTCGGGGAGTACAACTTCAACCTGACGTCCAAGTGCGGGGACCCGGGGTCGTACGCGTGCGACGACCCGTCGAACCACTGGAGCTGGGACGGCATCCACCTCACCGAGGCGTCCTACGGCCACATCGCCAAGGGCTGGCTCTACGGCCCGTTCGCCGACCCTCCCATCCTCGAGACCCGCCACCACTGATCGATCGAAAACACGATCGGTTTGTGATCCACTCGTTCGTTTGCATATATGACAAGCAGACACACACCACATACACACACACCTTCATATGCACTGGAGATGTGAAGGATAGCGAAAGGGGCCGGACAGGCAGAAGAACAGAGAATGTGATGGTTAATTTGTTCAGATTAATTAGATGGTTGGTTGGGGATGTGTTGTAGTTTCATTCATGTAAGAAGCGTTTTGGTTTGTGTATTTCGTTTGTTGGTCCTTGGTAGAGAAAGAGAGAGTAGATGTAATTCCTATTTCTTGAGAAATTAAAATTGCTCTCATATATAGCATCCTTTCGACCTTGTATACATACCGACCGTGTATTTCTAACCTGTCGTTTTACTACTTTTCAAAAAAAAAATTGTCTAACCTCTCAGTTTGGCTCAAATGGTACTTGGCGAATTTTGGACGAATTGTCAGGGCCACCAGCCCTCCACATTTCTGAATGCTGATGGTACTATGGCCTTTTTGAGGGGTAAAGCTAGCGATCACCCGTCCGCCCCTCCTATATTTTTTTTAAAAAAACAAAGTTAAAAAAATTTATGTATAGAACTATATATAAAAATTTTAATTCAAATTCAAATTTAAATCGGGTATGTAAACTTTTGACTTATAAACTTTGGGTCTATAAACTTTAGGTGTATAAACTTTAGATGTATAGAAATACTATATATAGAAAATATTTGAATTCAAATTCAAATTTGAAACAGATATATAAACTTTCTGACTTATAAACTTTGGGTCTCTAAACTTTAGGTGTGTAAACTTGATGTGTATAAACTTTAGGTGTATAAATTTATTAAAATAGGAAAGTAATACGGTGCCAAAAAAGAAAACTAGGTGGAGGGAGGAGAGACCGAATCCTGATCGCTAAAGTTATAAACTTTGGGTCTCTAAATGTGTAAACTTGAGGTGTACAAACTTTAGGTGCATAAATTTACTAAAATAGAAAAGTAATACGGTGCTAAAAAAAAGAAAACCAGATAGAGGAAAGGGAGACCGAATCTTGATCACTAGGGGCGATCGATCGCCCCCTAGCAATCTCGCTTTTTGAGGCCATAGATCGCTGATGGGCTCTGTTGAACGAACAAAAGTTTACAGGCCTACGAAACACCGTCTGTGGGCCAAGGTTAGATGACTAACTGGGGGCATTCGGCCCAAGTAAGCCTGCCAGTGGGTTGGTTACGAATGGATAGAATGGACTGTTCGGATATCAATTTGGATTGGAATAAATTCATCTGAAGTCTCTTTAACTTGTTAAGGAATTCGATTTTCGTTTTTCAACCGAAAAACCAGATATAACATATCTCTCAACTGTTAAAACAGATACAATATAAGTCCTATAATGGTTTTAGATGATGTGGTGCCTATGTGGCTAATTTGACTCGGTCTTCATCTGACGTGGTATTGACATGGCATATGAAGCAAAATGGCCGTGTCTAGATAGCATGCAGTACGTGTTTGTCCTAAACCGAAACCTCTCTCACTTTTCCAATATTGTCTCTTACTTTTTGTTACAAACCCCACCTACTTTCTAACATCTAAAATTCAAATAAATTTTTCTCTAAATTATTTATCCGATCTATAATCCAATTACACCATCGTGTTCATTGCAATTAAATCTTTATAACAAAATCCTACATGATTATATTATGATGGAAAAAATATTTATGTAATAAATTACTTTTATTATATATATAAATTACTTTTATCATATATAAATTGATTTTAGATTTGATTAAATTACTTTTTTATACATTCAGTGAACAGTTTACTACACTGGTTAGTTCTATAATGTGTTGATTAAGTTTAATTTCTTGATAGACTCGTGATTTTACCCCAACAACAGTTTACTTTTAATGCCGTGATAAGTTACTTTTTTTTTAAGTTATAGATTTAGTTGTTACGAACACAACGGTGTACAGTTGAGTTTTGTGAGCTGAAAAAAATATATGAGCTGAAAAAAATATATGGGCTAAATTGTGGATGCTGGAAAAATCATATGGGCTGAATTGTGCGGGTTAGAAAAATCATATGGGCCAAATTGGAGTGGGCTGAAAATTTGTACAAGCTGCACTCATAAACAAACAATCAAAAAATATGCTGGGTCAGCTAGCAACAACCCTAGAAAAAATATATTTGTGGCCCATGAGCTACATGGCTTTAGCATGCCGAATCTTATTTTGTGACTTTTTTTTTCAACCATGTCAACTGTCATGTCAGCTGCCACGTGGCAAGCCCCAGGATTTTGTGACAATAAAGCAATGTCATATGCTTGTGACAATAAATGTACAAACGTCACATATTAAATTTATGACGACGGCTTTTTTATGTTTGAAATTACGTCAACTGTTTGTCACAAATCTTAATTTTCGACATAAATTTCACATATTATGACATAATAAAATGTAAAAAAGCCACACACCTCTTGTAGTGTGTAATCCGATAGTAGATCGGATGAGTAACTGAAGAGAAAATTTTATTTAAAGTATAGGTGGTAAGAATATATTTTCTAGTTGTACAATGGTTAAGATTCTTCCAGTAATCAGATGCCGTCGCTGGTTACGACTAAAAGGAGAGACTCTCTGTTTAGATTTTACGTCACAAAAAACATGAACCTAGGCATACACTCCCTCCTTCCCTAAATGTTTGACGCCGTTGACTTTTTTAAACATGTTTGACCATTCGTCTTATTCAAAAATTTTTGTGAAATGTGTAAAACTATATGTATACATAAAAGTATATTTAACGAATGGTCAAATATGTTTAAAGTAAACGGCGTCAAACATTTTGGAATGGAGGGAGTATTAGATTAGACTTTTCGTAGTACTACGAATCTAAAAAGGGGTTTTATCTAGATTCATTGTACTATGATATATATAATCTATGTCTAGTTACTATATATTGAGATTGATGGAATTGATGGAGTAACATTTGTTTTCTCATTCAACTTTTTTTTTTTTGAGTGGGGGATGGAATCGTAGGATTCACGCGATTAGGCCTCTCATAGTGCACACAGTTGGCACGGTGCTATGGAGCGCCAGCTAGGACTTAGTCTCGCGTGGAGGGAGGGCGCGCGCCCGTGCTGAGCTCCTCGCTCCCAAACTAAGCCGCACGCATCCTTCTCTCGCGAGGCGAGGAAACAACTGTTTTTCTGTACTGTGGAGCTCGTGCCCTCACTCCGTCCGTGCCCGGCAACAAATTGCGGCAACAAATCGGCAACAAACGCGGCAACAAATCAGACACAAATCGGCAACAAGTCAACAAATCGAGCGGCGCGGGCGGCGCGGTCGACGGCGAGGCGAGGAGCACGGCGGCGGCGTCCCCGGCGTGCCGCCACGGCGTGGGAGAGAGGAGGAGGCAGCCGGGGATGCATCCCGCCGCCAAGAACCGCCGGTCTCCCCTCCGCCGCTTGCGCGACGCCGAGCTCGTCGCGAGCCACCGCCTCGGCCTTCTCGATCTGCCGCCGCGAGGAGAGGGGAGAAGCCTCCCAGAGCTCGCCGGCCACGCCGCCCCCAATCCGGCCGCCTAGAGCTCGCCGGCCACGCCGCCCCCGATCTGGCTGCCGGGAGCTCGACTGCCACGCCGCTCCCGATCTGGTCGCCTGGAGCTCGCCGGCCACGCTGCCGCCGATTCGGCCGCTCGGAGCTCGCCGGTCACGCCGCCCCCACCGTCCACCGCGCCGCCGTCCTCCCACCGCCGCCGTCCTCCCACCGCCGCTTCTTCGAATCTGCCGCCGCCGCTGCTCGGTCCGGAGGACGCCGTCGCCGCCGCACGGCCCGGAGGAGAGGAGAACCGGCGCCGACGGAGGGAGGAAGGGAGCCGGCGCCAGCGGAGGGGGCATGGGAGAGCCGGCGTGGTGAGGAGGGAGGAGGAGGCGGGCGTGGTGAGAGTGAGGAAGGAGCCGGAGAAATCGAGGAAGGAGGGAGGAGTTGGGGATTGATTTGGTAAAGCTGTGCACTGTGGGTCCCACTCGGTGCTTGCACTGTGAACATAGGGTCTTTGTCCTAGCTGTCATCCCTTAGTGGGTGCTTGCACTATGAATGGCCTTAGAAGGCGAGGCATGAGTGCAACTGTTGCATTACAACACACAAGTTGCTATATTTTTTTTTCGTGTGGGGATGTGAGGAGTGAGTGCAACTATATATTGCATTGCAATATAGTTGGTACATTATAGTAGATGTTGTTGTAACCTGCAAGACTCTTCTCTTGATCTTAATAAGGACTGGCCGATTTTTATTTTTCGCCGGATGGGGTTGACTTTTTTTTAGGGATTGCTAGGTGCACCGTGCACATATACCTAAGGTTGTCAGGATCGGGATACTAGGTAGTATCGTTTTGCTCAAAGTAATATCGTATCGTATGATCATATCATAGTATCGGGATACTATGATATTTGCTTTTTTTAAGTTTAATTAACATTTATATTAATTATATATAGCCATTCTATATAAAAAAAATATAGTAATAATATATGTCATGCAAATAGAGACATTTATCAAGAGAAACCATGTTGGTTTTGATATATTTAACTGATTTTTATATAAATTTGAGCATATTTAGTTACATTATTTTCAAACCATGTTATTTTAAATAATATTTTGTAATATCGTAGGGATCGTAAAATCGGGATACCACCTAAGATTTTATAGGATCGTATAGTAATAAATAGTAGGATCGAGATACTATGAAAATTAAGATACCATGTGGGGTCGGTATCGTTTCGGCTTGGTAGGATCGTAGTATCGTAAAATATTAGGATACAAATCGGAATACTTTGCATATACCACGTACGCCGTGCTGCCAACTAGCATACGAGCTCACTCGTGCTTTTCGTGTGCCTCCACTTTGGCATCAGATGCGGTTGACTTTAGTTAGATCACTCTGCACTTGTTTGCGACTTTTCGAGCTGGAAGCAACGGCGGTTTCTGCGGCGACTTTCATCGCTTCACTCGTCATTTTCTCAAGCTCAATGTGCAAAAATCTATCGCACCCCAATTCGTCAACTCTTGTGGCAACCGACCGCGACGGCAAGGTTAGTGTAATCTGTAGGTCATATATTTAGCAAAGAAAATCTATGCGCGATCGATATATACAATTTTTCCTCCCATCGCCATCGTCGAGCTCCTTACTCTACGTACCACACGACGATGAAGCTCCTACGCGTCGTCTTGGTTCTCCTCCTGCCCGCCGTCTCCTCCTGCCTCCCCTGCCGGCGGCGCGACGACTACGACTACGACTCCATCTTTAGCTTCGGCGACTCGTTCGCCGACACCGGCAACGGCGCCGTCGTCTTCGCCGAGCACTCGCTGTTCAGCCCGGCGACGAAGCCTCCCTATGGCATGACCTTCTTCGGCCAACCCACCGGGCGTAATTCCAACGGCCGCCTCATCATCGACTTCATCGGTGAGTGCCAATTTCGTCTATATTAGCTTTTTTGTTAGCTTCTTCTTTCCCTGGAAAAGAACGCGTTCAACGTGCTCGATTAATTGTCCTGCCGGACGGCTGGATCGGAGTGTGCAGCGGAGAAGCTCGGGCTGCCGTTCGTCCCGCCGTACCTGGCGCACAACGGCAGCTTCCGGCAAGGCGCCAACTTCGCCGTCGCCGGCGCCACGAGTCTCGACGCCAGCTTCTTCAGCGACATCCCCGGCGTCGGCAAGTTCGTTCTCAACACCAGCTCCAGCGTGCAGCTAGGCTGGTTCGACTCGTTGAAGCCGTTGCTGTGCAGCCCTGCCCAAGGTAAATTTCAGTTACCGCTGGTTAATTACTGCTCATCACAGTAGTACATACTCCAGTCTAGCTACTTCACCATTATGCATGGGTATGGCCATGCAAGGCTGAAGCTTACAAGCAAGTTAACGAACCGTTCCATGTCGTGTGCGTGCAGAGTGCAAGGGCTTCTTCCATAAGTCCCTCTTCTTCATGGGAGAATTTGGCGTCAACGACTACAGCTTCTCCGTCTTCGGGAAGACCCCGCTGGAAGTGAGATCGATGGTTCCAGACGTGGTGAAAACCATCTCGTCAGCCACTGAGGTAAGTAGGGCGAAGCTATAGCGAAATGGAGAGATGCGTCACGTGCTTGCTTTACTTTACTTTGCTTTGGATCAAATTTAACCTAATGCGGGTGCTTAGGTTTACATTGAGGTGATGCACATTTGGTAGAAATTAATAGACGAATTATAGCTAAAATTTTTTTGACCGGGTTCCCGGACACCCCCTCTCTAACATATAGCTCCGCCCTGGAGGTAACCCATCTATGTCTTTTTACTCGTTGTTCGGGAAAGATCGAACACGAACTCTGCTGCGCGCTGTACAATAGTTTTTCCTAACAATTGCTATATAACATGACTGCTAATATAGACTGTCTCTAACATATTATGGGCATAGAAATTCTTGTATTAATAGGAGAAAAAGAAAAAAAATAAAGTCCATATAGAAATTCAATTAAAAAATAATGCCAATTCAAAATTAAAAAATAAGGAATATTGAAAGAGGAGGGTAGAGCCAGTATGGTATACAATTTAGAACTGATTCAAATTCGAAATAAAAAAGTAGAATTAAAAGTAGAGGTTAGAGTCCATATAGAAAAATATAATTTATAAATAACTAAAATTCAAAATAAAAATGTTGGAAGAAGAGTTTAAAATCCATATAGAATATAATTTATAAATAACTAAAATTTGGAAGTTAAAAAATAGAAAAAAATATTAAAAGAAGTGTTTAGAGCCCGTATAGAAATACAATTAAGAAATAACAGAAATTTAAATTAAAATATAGAATATTGTAGGAAGACTCTAAAGTCCATATAAGAATTTAGAACTAACTGAAATTCAGAATAAAAGTAAATAAATTAAAGGTAGAGTTTAGAGTACATATAGAAATACAATTTAGAAATAATTAAAGTTATAAATTAAAAATAAGGAATATTGAATGAAGAGGCTAGAGTCCATTTTTGAATATAATTTAGAAAAAAACTGAAATTCGAAATTAACAAAAGCAATATTGAAAGGTGAGTTTAGACTCCATATAGAATCACAATTAGAAATAACAGAGATTCAGAACTAAAAAAATAGGTATATTGGAAGAAGAGTCTAAAATCCATATAGAAATTTATAAAAATAACGTAAATTCGAAATTAAAAATAAGAAATATTGAAAAAGGAGATTAAAGTCCATAGGTATACAACTTAGAACTGATTGAACTCGGAAGTAAAAAAAAATAAGAAAATTAAAAACAGAGGTTAGAGTCCATATATAAATACAATTTAGAAATAACTAAATATAAAAATTAAAATAAGTAAGGAATGTTAGAAGAAAAGTCTATTGTCCATGTAGAATATAATTTATAAAAAACTAAAATTTGAAAGTTAAAAATAAGGAATATTAAAGGAAGAATTTAGAGTCCATGTAGAAAATACAATTTAGAAATAACAGAAATTCTAAATTAATTAATAAGGAATATTGTGAAAAACTCTAAAGTTTATATAGGAATTTATAATTAATTGAAATTTAGAATAAAAAGTAAAGTTTAGAGTCTATATATAAATTATATTTAAAAATAACTAAAATTCGAAATGAAAAAATAATTAATAACTATCACGTATATACAATATACAATATGAATATCACGCATTGGTTAGTTTTATCAAGTTAATACATAATTTAAAATTGAGCAATGCTACACATACTAAATTTTTCTTACTAAACTTTTACTAACAATCATCTCAACCGTTTGATTTAAGTAGATGGAAGTTACAAAAAATCTAGATACACTCATAGCATGACACATCAGTGTTAGTAAGAAAAAGTTAGTACGTATAGCCTTTTCCTTTAAAATTTTGTTGCCATTTAAATGTAAAAATAGAAAAAAAAATATAACGATGCTAGCTATCGTGCTAGTCTTTTTTTTAATATAAAAAGACGGAGGAAGCATCCGTAGCTATTAACCATCCAATTTACCACGACAATTTTTGCTGGCTGACAAATATTTAACAAGCAACCTTTGTTCTTTTTATCGATCTTTAACAGAGGATAATCAAGCGGGATGGGGCAAAGGCAGTGGTCGTTCCAGGGATACCACCATTGGGATGCATGCCGCCCAACTTAGCGATGTTTCCCAGCACCGATCCAGCGGGCTACGAACCAGGCACCGGATGCCTGAGGCAATTCAACGAGATCGCAGTGTATCACAACACGCTGCTACAGGATGCCATCAAGAATGTCCAGAAAAACCACCCAGATGTCCGAGTTATCTATGCAGATTTCTTCACCCCGGTCATTCGAATCGTCCAGTCCCCTGGCACATTTGGTTAGTGTAGCACATTATAATTACATGCTTTAATTAATGGCCTCATATTTTTCTTATGCTTATGCTTATCAGTTAAAAATTGAATTTTCAACCTTTGAAGCTGATTTTGAGGTTTTTTCGTCGAAGTTTATTTTTCAGCCTTTGCTTTTATATCGCTAAGAACATGTATATAAAAATTTTATTTATAAATTACTTTTCGTTTGCAAATATGTCATTTGATTTATTCCACAAACAAGCCAAACGATGAGGCTGTAAATTGATCTGTTCTTTGATCTTATCCTATACAAAATGTTAATTAGTTGTAGACTTGTAGTATTAAGATGACGATATAAGTCTCTTTTTTTTTCAGAAGATGAGATTGGTGACTATTAGTTAATCGTGCAGGTTTTACCAGCGATATTTTGAGATGTTGCTGCGGTGGAGGTGGGAAGTACAACTTCAACATGAGTGCTGGATGTGGCATGCCAGGCGCGACGGTGTGCGAGGATCCATCCACCCATTTGTTCTGGGATGGCCACATGACAGAGGCAGCCTACCACTTCATTGCTGATGGCTGGCTAAACAGCATAAATGAATCCTAGATAAACTATGTTAGAATCTGTCCTCCTTTCTAGCTTAAATTTGGTATATCATTGTTGAATTGCTACGGAGGTTGAGGGGTTTTAAGGACCATTTCTGTCAGAACAACATATATGAATCCTAGATAAATTATGTTGGAATATGTCCTTTATAGCTTAAGGGCCGGTTCAGATTACTGCCCAAAACACAAAGTAAACCTTTTCAATATTTTACAATACTAAAATTTTGACCTTTCCAGACTATATACCAAATTAAATGGGCCATTCTGTCATAACAATACAGCCCTTTTTTATTATATGAGGCAATTGACTTTTCAAATTCATTTGACTATTTGTCTTTTGTAGAAACAAATGTATAAATAGATAAACATAAAAGATATGCTTTAAAAGTACTTTGGGCCATATGCCCCTGGCCAATGGGTGAGGAGCAACACGCGAGATAAAAAAAACAGTAATGGTACTCACTGTGGGTAATTTGTATTTTTCCTTTTCACTTTTGTTTTTCAATTACACCTAAGTGTCACGTGTCCCAGTGTTAGATTCAGCCGGTTTGACAAGGGTTAACGTGCCATGTTAGTGAAAACCTCCATACTACCGAAGAAGTTATTTTATGATTTTAGTAGTTGTTGGGATTGTTATAACTGTCCAAATTCGTCCTATATCCAGGCAGAGTCAAATTAGGCTTTTCCCTATTATCTCTACTATTATAAAAATTAAAAATTTTTTACCGGTACTTTGATATGTCATCTGTGTATAAATTATTTTTTAAGTTTGTTCACTTCTAGAAATACATATCCGTATTTAAGTCGGATTTTAAGTTCGTTTGCTTTTAGAAAAATACGGAAGGAATCGTATAAGAAATCTATTTTAAAAAAACTCGCATGCTAATTTAGGATAATTAGATTCCTAATTATATATTATGATTTTCTAGAAAAATATATATTCAAGCAAATTCTTATAGTGAATTTCATATTAAATAAACCGTATAATAATAAGAATAAAATAGCATTCACCCGTTGCAACGCATGGGTATTTTTCTAGTTATAGTGTAAATCCAAAAAATTACATTGTAAATTCAAACCTTACACTGAGAAAATAAAAAACAAACAAGCAAAAAGCATGCAATCCTAGATTTCACAGGAGAAGGTAGCAGTGTAATGTTAATGTTAAATGCTAGTAATAAAGCAAAGAGGATTGGATACAACTTTGCCACGGTGCGTGAAGAGGCATAGCCAAATAAATACTCATGGAGCAATCGTTCGGCTAGTGAAACCGACTGAAATCAGTCCAGAAATCTGTAGATATCTTTTTAGCAATTCCGATAAATAAAGTGAGAGTAATGCACGTAAAAATGGCCAGAAATTAAAGTGTTCGTGTTGCTGTAAGCTCACCAAATTCATCCCCGAGCGCGTGCATAGGATCCGGCAGCGAAGGCTTCTCGGGCCCTCGGTGTGAGCAGCAAGAGATGCACCATTCGTAGCGATCCAAAATCTGATGGGCCGAAATGGGTGGTTACCATCGGCTGCCGCCCAAAATCCACGTGACCGTACGCTGACGATGGATCAGCAGAGGACCGACGTGGTCACGGCCGTGCTGGGCGCCCGTGGCTACGTCGCGCGGTACTGATCCTGCACGCCGGCACACATTCGGCGAATTTTTTTCATTTTTAAATTTTTATTTTTTAATATTTATAGAAATATTATACCGGTGAAAATATTTACAGAAATAGACCCGGCGGGGTGACTTGTGTGACCAAGCGCTAGAGGATGCTGAGCGAGCATGCGAATTTTCCATGTGGCGAAAATTGCACTTTGCCCCTTGCCGCCCTTACAAACCTCAGCACAAAATACACACACGACGTCGTGTACTATGTCACTTTGCCCTCTACTTGAACGGCAGGGTCTATTTCTGTAAATATTTTCACTGATATAATATTTATGTAAATATTAAAAAATAAAAATTTAAAAATGAAAAAAATTCCACATTCGGCAGTCCGGCAGGCGGCAGCTTTGGAAGGTAAGAATTGACGAGAGCAATCAATGGCAACGAGTGATGGATTCATCAAGTGACGCAAGGCCCAGTGGTAGAGGGTTGGTGAGGGGCTTTGTTTGGTTCGATTAGGGATGAAACCGGTGCGGATAGTTTCCGTCCGCTCCGGATAAAAACGAATACGGATACCTCTCGGATCGGATAATTCTCGGATAGTTCGGATACGGATACGAATACGGATATTTTCTCTCGGATACGAATACGAATATGGTATCAGGATTTCCGTCGGATACGGATAATAATTCGGATATCCGGTGAACAGTGCTATTCGGATATCCGCAGAAGCCACAAGACATACCCCATTTCTTTATAACTCTATGACCTTCAATATACCTTTTTAAATTTTAATAGTAGTTCATCTCTTAACACTAGTCCACATTATTAATATTATTTAAAATTTTAAAAATATTTATAAATTATACTATATTTTATATAAAATGATCTAATTATATATGTTGATATTTGTTTCTATTAGAAGTTGAATTGGTTTTCGTGTTCCGAGAAAAATTTGTTTCCGTATTCGTGTCCGATCATATTCGATTCTTATTCGTATTCGAGATAGTCCGTATTTGTTTCCGTATTCGAGCTATCCGTATTCGTTTCCGTATCCGGCAAAAAATATGAAAACGAATATGGTATGAGCATTATCCGTCCATATCTGCTCCGTTTTCATCCCTAGGTTCGACTGACCAAACCAGCCACCAAAAAAATTGCAGCAGTTGACACTAGGGATGAAAACGGTCGGAAAAACCCTATACCATTTTCATTTTTGTATTTTTTTTCTCGAAAACTGAATTGGAACGATAGATCTGAAAACGGTAACGATATCAGTAATATCGGTATATCGGAAATGGGACCGTCGGAACGGAATATATCGATATTGGTTGGAAATCGAAAATTCATGTTGGTATCAGAGGAGTGTGACATTGTACACATTTAAGTATCACGAATATGACTTTTTAACTTTATTCTTGCATTATCACACTCCACATAGTACCATTATATGATGATTAATGATATAATAATAAGTATGACGGACAATATAAATAAAGTTTAACAATACTTCAACATAGATAAGTTGAGAACACCAAAGTTCAGCAAAATTCACATACCATGTTATAGGGTTAACAACATTTTTCTTGGTCACTTCTCCTTTTTTTTTGGCATGCAATAGACTTCCTTTATTTATGGACTTCCGATGGGTTTGGTTGGCTGTTCTGCTTGAAATCTTTCAGAATTTTTGATAGAAATTATCATACAAATACGGTTACCGATAAAACGGTCTGAAAAACCTCCATCCATTTTCGAAAGATATTACCGTTTCCATTTTCACCACTGTTTGTTATTGATACCGACTAAAACGGTTGGTATAGACTGAAAATGAAACCAAAAATCTCGAAAATTTTCGTACCATTTTCAGCCCTATGTGGTACAGAATCTCTCGTCCCCGCTTCAGTTTATCGCGGAGACGGACGAGCAGATCATACTAATTCAGTTATTCCGATGCCATTTTCTTGTTGAAATCACCGCTTACACCACACCCCGTGACGTGTCACTTTCCAAAAGTCCTCTCTCGTCAATGACAAACAGGCAGCCAGACAGTACTTCTACAAAACACAGTTACACAGACATCTTGTCGTACTATCTCTATCTGATTATTACCGGCACGAGCTGAGCTGATTGATCGGTGCATATGCATTCACCAACTGCCATTTGAACGCCACGGACCACAGACTGACAAGCTGATCCTGTTCCCGTCTCAACCGCAGTCACTCACCAATGGCTCCGCCGCCGGCGGCGCTTCTCCTCGTCGTGCTCCTGCTCGTCGGCTTCGTTAGCGCCAGAGCCATCACACCCTCAGCTTAAGCGGCGGCGGCGTTCCCCAAGGAAGCCCTGCCGACCAAGTCCGGCTACCTCCCCATCCCGACAGCCAACGCCTCGCTCTTCTTCGCCTACTACGAGGCCACGCACCTGCTCACGCCGCCGGCCTCCACGCCGATCATCCTCTGGCTCCAGGGCGGCCCCGGCTGCTCCGGCCTCACCGGCAATTTCTTCGAGCTCGGCCCCTACTTCGTCAACCACGACGCGCTCTCCCTCTCGCCCAACCCATTCGCGTGGAATCGCCGGTTTGGCCTTCTCTTCATCGACAACCCGCTCGGCACCGGCTTCAGCGCCGCGCCGTCCCCCGCCGCCATCCCCACCAACCAGTTCGTCGTCGCCGCGCACCTCTTCACCGCGTTGCAGTCGTTCTTCGCGCTCCAGCCGGGCTTCCGCTCCCGCCCCTTCTTCCTCACCGGCGAGAGCTACGCCGGCAAGTATGTCCCGGCGGCTGGGTCGTACATCCTGGCCGTGAACCCGACGCTGCCGAAGCGGCTGCGGGTTAACCTCCACGGCGTGGCCATCGACAACGGGCTGACGCACCCCGTCGCGCAGGTGGCGACGCACGCGGACACCGCCTACTTCATGGGCCTGATCAACGCCAAGCAGAGGCGGGAGCTGGAGGCGCTGCAGGCGAGAGCCGTCGAGCTGACAAACGCGGCGAGGTGGAGCGAGGCGGCCGACGCGAGGGAGCTCGTGCTGTCGTTGCTGGAGAACGCCACGGGCCTGGCGACGCAGTTCGACGCGGCGAAGCAGCGCCCCTACGAGACGGGCCCCGTGGGGAAGTTCGTGAACCGGGCGGAGGTGAAGGCGGCACTGGGCGCACGCACTGACGTGGAGTGGGAGGACTGCAGCGACACGGTGGGCGCGGCGATGCACGGGGACGTGATGAAGAGCGTGAAGCCGGGGGTGGAGGCGCTGCTGCGGGGAACGCGCGTGCTGCTGTACCAGGGCATCCGCGACCTCAACCTCAGGGACGGCGTGGTGTCGACGGAGGCGTGGATGCGGGAGCTCAAGTGGGACGGCCTGACCGCCTTCCTCGTCGCCGACCGCGCCGTGTGGCGCATCGGCGAGGAGCTCGCCGGGTACGTGCAGCGCTCCGGCCCGCTCTCCCACGTCATTGTCGACGGCGCCGGGCACCTCGTGCCGGCGGACAACGGCCGCGTGGCGCAGGAGATGATCGAGGATTGGGTGTTGCAGGCGGGGCTATTCGGGCGCCACGGCGGCATGAAGCGCGCGGCCTGACTCCGCACTCCGGGGCACGGGCGGAGGCCTCATCTCTCGCGGTGTCAAACTCTAATCTGATTTGAGAATCGAG